TCTAAGGGAACATCTCTTGTCTCATAGCTCTCTGTCGATCGCCGTACCGTACTGTATGGAGGCAACGCTGTTAAAAAGTCAGTTTATTCGATCATTCAAGCCATAGAGCGATTGTTGAGTATAAACACTTACCAGTAGTTCCAATAGCTCCAATAGGGCGTCGACCCTCTTCAACCACATGATGTTCGATCACCTCGATCTGTTCAACCGAACGCTGAGGACGTCCGTCCATTCCTCGAACTATTCGGGGAGTGTCCAGATCTACCAGAGTCTTTGTGGAAGCACAATCTAGAATTGTGAAGTAGGCTAGACAGAAGGAATGAAATAAAACAAAAATTCGATATAGACGGGGAATAGGCTAAAGAAAGAAACTGACGAAGGTGCTTCTGTGAAGGGTACAACTAGGGAAACTGTCACTGTACTAAAGTACTATATCTTTCGAAAACAATTAAGATAAATTATTATTTAGAAAGAAAAGTAAAAAGGTAAAGTCATAACTTATAATTAAAAGGTCAGCATCATTCCATTATTTTTGCTGGTTGAATTTGTGCGGTTTCCTATAAATTTTAAAAACCTTTAGAAACTGCACTATGGCGCTTGCATACATGAAATAAACGAATAAGTGAATGAATGTATGAATGATGACAGCGAAATTACTGAGATTATCTGCAAGCACATTCACAACAAGCTGGTTTTTTAACTGCTCGCTATGAGTAGAAGATTTAAGTACTGTAACTTCACGTATGTCAACTTCGTTAATATTTGAGTACCCTCAACATACATTTCATTACTAAAACTGATGAGCTTAGTTGAAGTTTTCCAAGATTTTTCAAAAAACACTGAAAGTCAGCTTGTCACGCTTGTTACTAAGCTCTATGTAGATTAAGGCCCAGCTCACTGTTGCCTTCAACTATGCTAGACGTGAATTACATGAATTATTAGAGAAATGCTGTGTTGAGACGAAACGCACAAAAATAAATAATAATATAGGGTGATAAAACAACAGCAAAAACATTTTTGC